AGAGTCCGAGTGACGTCACTGCGCATCGCTACTGATAAGATTGCAATAAAATGAATCTAGATCTCAGAGGCTCAAGATGCTCTCTCTCTCTCTCTCTCTCTATATATATATATATATATATATATAACGTTCAGATTCTTACCAACCTAAGACTTTTTCAAGGAAGCCTTCAAATCCGCTCGTTGTAGGAATTGGAGTGTCGTATCGAAGGAAGTAGCACGAAATGAGCAATATATTCGTTCGTATAAATCTGTCGAGTGCAGAATCGAATAAGTGGTTTGATCGAGCACTTTTCAGGCGAAGAAATTTATCGACTTGTTTTCAGCTAAAGGGTCCTTATTTCAAGTGCCGTATGTCGTAATTATAAGTACGGATTGGCTCATTTAATAGGCAAGCTGAGTATACTTGATGCACAATAATAATAATAATAATATTATAATGGATTCTCTATTTTATAATATTAAATCCGTTCGATTAGATCCGTTCCAGTTACATGGGTAGAGTGTCTAGGGGCACTCGTTTTTTACTTTATTGGTTATATTTATTAGACCACGGTTGAATTCGGAGTAATGCCGTTCCTTTTTGTTGTTTATTCAATTGGGAACGCCGGAGTAAGAGAATTCCGCGAACGGCTTCTGTTCAGATTCTCAGTGAGGGGCCTTGCCTCGATGATTGCCATTTTAGCATAGCAAACGGTAATACTGTGTATTGCACTTCTTGCTGTACGTGAAATTAATGGGGTTTTTCTATATCGCGGAGGTAACCTCAACTTTCGTTCCTTCGTAAGATCGAACGGCGCGATCAACTCTGCGCGAACTTTAATTCAAGGCTTAGTGACTGTGCCGACGTTTCTATGGGCGTTAATGGGAAAAAATATACGTAAAAATAAATGGCCTGTTGGCATTTTTCAGAGACGTGCGAGCGCTACGGGCCTCATTAAACTTCATGCACCGAATGCACAATGCCCTGCGCTGTACGCCACTGAAATATATCCCTTTTTTGTTATCACAAACGCTACTGCTGAATGTAACGAGTATCAACTGACTCGCGTAGTCACATGCCTATTTTCATTTTTTTTTTTTTTGTTATCCTCCCCCTATATTTATTCTGTCCTTTGTCCGAATTTCATCTTCCATTTGTTACATGGTATATGCCGTTATCGTGCCTCTTCGCAGAGACAGCGTTATCAGCGTTCCTTTCCTTCCTGTCTTTCAAATACTTTGTTCCATTCATTTAGCTCCCTTTCACCTTTTCTCTGCTTTACTGACCTTTTTCCTTTCTCAAGATAATATTTCGTAATATCATCGCGATTTCTCTAGCTTATATCCCGTGACGTCACTTACGCGAAATTTTCCCATAATCACCATTACCAAACTGTTATCACGTGGACTACGCTACATTTTTAATAATCGTAAATTGTCAAATTTGTTCGCAATTGCATTTTCACGGCACTCGTTCCCCTTTTCGCATCGCCACGTTCTGCTGGTATTAACCTGATGGGATTTTTACAAGCTATCGCACGGCCTATTATCCTTTTACGCCTATGGGCTGATACCCTATTTCGACCAGACCTCTCGTTCGGTACACGTGTAGCGATGCGCGTATTACCAAATGTATATGGATTCGAAGGATCATTAAGTTACAAATAAAGGGATATACGCGCCTCGATGAGTACTTTAATTATGATAGGACTTTCAGGGAGCGTTGATAAAAGTCTCTGTTGTCCCTTCAGTCGTTAAAACGCTCGAGGCTTTGCACGGCTGCGTCACAGTTTCATTAGCGTTCCCATTTCATCGGAGTGGCAGTCGAGTGAGCGTCAGAGAGAGATCTTCGTGAAACGATGGTGAAGACGGGAAGACGTGGAGAAAAAAGGAATTTGTTTATTCGGAAGCGACGGGGAATGAGAAATAGAGAGGCGAGTCGTTACTGGTTACGGAAACAGGAAACTTTTAAGCTCGTAAATTCCCTGACATGCCTTCCGTCTACATGATCGGGAAACGAGTTTTTTCAGATCTCGCAGAGATCACGTACATTGTCCCCGGCATGAAATCAAGACTCCACGATACGACAGACGCCCATGCCAATGCGCTTTTATTGGACGTCAAATGTCATATGCATCCGCAAGGGCTGGATACCTGGGGGGTTCTCGGTAACGTTGCGCTATGGGATAATAGTAATGCGAATTGTGCGAAATTAGGAAAACCATGACGAGGGAATAAGCGGGGGGCGGTGGATCGAAGAGGAAAAGGAAAATGGAAAAGCAAACGAAGAAGAAGAAGCATTCGCAAAGCGAATTGGCAAAGTTCGTGTAATAACTCAGATATTCTTTTGTGCTCCGAGCACACGGATCTCTTGGACGACAATACCGCTTTCAGACGTTGGATATACGTTTTCGATGCTAAATTTGTTTGTTGCCCGGTCCACGATACACGTTACTGTCACCGGGATGCTACTACTACGGAGTCCTTCAGTTTCCTCTTTTTTTTTTTTACGAGGTTCGACAATAAACTACGACAGACAGTGCGAAATACTTTGCGAATCCTTAATGCGATACCGGAACATTCGAATTGGCAATTTATTCGGTACTTTTTCCAAACTCATTCCCATGCCTTCTAATTCAGTGGGTATACCTTCGTAAAAGGAGGAATGCGCCCTATCATTCCCCAGAGACATTGGCAGGTGCGATTCTCGTGAAACATAGACCAGTCTAATGGCTCGGTATACACTGTAGTCTATACTCTTTGTTAAATTGGCTGTACTGCTGGTGTAGTATTTTTAATGTTTATTTTAACGCTTTTAAGTAATTTGACAATTAACGTAAGTGCGAAGACTTTCAGGGATAATATTCAAATTTGAAAATTCAAATTTTTGGGTCAGTCTAATTTCGTGCATCTTCGGGTAAAACGTCATTGACATACCGATAAGGTATTTTCAATTGGATATACAAATGTCAATGTTAGAGACTGGTCGAGTTTAATTATTATTTGTAACTATGTCTAGTTTTGTTGAACTTTGAACAGTTCGATAACGGGACTTCTGATAACTCCGGCTTAATTTCCAATTACAGTTATGATTATTTATTTTGGTAATAGATTCAATCGTTTTCGCGGACATCGATAGATCCAACTTTGACATACATTCAATGTACAATCATTCGTTTCTGTCTGTGAGATTAATCGATTTTCATTTATCCCCTTAATATCGGTATAGTCGTATACAAAAGTTTGCTACCTTATCGTTACGCGTGCTGCGCTCTACATGTTGGTGTATAACGTTATCGACGTTATTCATGGTAACGTGGCCCCACGTGTTTTCCACCCAATGGCACCATTTTTACTTCACATTAAACAAACTCGTCAACAGTCATTACTTTAATGATTCTTTGTGGTCCAACTCGTGAAAGTTTTTCTCCGTTAACCCGACAACGTAATTCGGCACGTATAATTCATGTCATTTACATAGGTAGTGCTCCGAGCTTAGTTCATTTCACGTCCTGCGACATGAACATCAATCATGGCTCACGATTCAGACATGCGTCAAGCGGTGAAAGAAACGATGGAATCTCATAAACAGATGAAGAAACAAAAATATAATAAACGATCATAAATATTGTTGAAGATAATATTTTTCGGTGACACGTACAATTTATTTTTCTGATATATTTTTCAATTTTTCTTTTTTTTTTGCTAAAATGCCGAAAGTACACTCAGGCTAAATTAATATCAATATCAGAGTCTTTTCCGTGCTGAAGTCTCTTTGTTCCTTGAAATAAAAAGCAAAGACGAAGTTAATTGGTTTGTTAATATTAGTATACGAAGTGGTTGAGACAAAGCTCCATGATTTTGCCTTAAAGAGTCACAGAAGCATAAAATACCTTTTCCACGTGAAAGCGAGACACCGGAGACGCCTCATTTTTGTTCGGCTAATTAGTCTTTTCACGTGGCAGAATATCGTGCTTTGCCGTTACCATACACGTAGAGAAGAGAGAAAAAGAGGCTCCAAGGTAAAGGAAACGGAGCAGGTACGTATTCACCTGGCAACCCTATCTCTTACCACGCAACAGACACAAACTGGCTGTGTATCAGAGCAATATACAAGCCAGATAGGAGCACGAGTCCCAAAGTTACGTGGAAAACTCAAAGTTTGGAATGTACCTACATTTTCACGGATTGCTTTCAATTCGGCATGAAAGGAGGAGAATTGCGGTGAGGGAAGGTACGGAGAGGAGGTGGAGGTCTCCTTCAACTTTGCTCTCTCCTACGGATCAAAATACTTCGTTTTTCCCTCGTCCTCTATGAGCACCGGCTTTTCTCTCTTCTGTATATATAAAACTGTCTCTCTCTCTCTCTCTCTCTCTCTCTCTCTTTCGCTCGCTTCAGTGTCTCTGCAAGCCGTGTAGACAAAGTTTAATACCCGTGATTTCCCTGAAAATGTATATCCAGTATCGTTAGGAAATACGAGGAATAATCGTCTATTCCCTGGAATGTAATTTAATATCGGTACTGGAATTCAAGATGCAGACTTGATGGTCACCCCGTATAGGAGAACAGGACACTCTGTTGGCTAACTGAAAATAGTAACGTAATTCTCCCATAAGAATTTTCTCCGAAAGATACGTATCGGCCTGCCGACCTCGTTCCGTTTAATCTGTCGGAAGGATCATTCGTCATTTGAGCCTCGGATCTTGCGAACGCGAATACGAATTGGAAGTGCCAGCCTTGGGGCTTAATAAGCCATGTCAATGCAGAAGAGTCAATAATCTGAAGGCTGGGAGATGTATTGGCACGCAGAGGGAGAATGGGCCGGCGACAGAAGGCTGAAAGAAGAGCGTCGAAGGTTTTCGGGGAGGAAATATAAAACTGGGTAGGAATTGCAGAGGGATTGTCATTTGCTGAAATTGCTATTTCCCGCTTACGTGTGCAGCCTCCACTTCGCCGAGTAAAAGCGGACTAATGATGCACACTAGACATAATGCGCCGTTCCTGTTCTCATTTTCAAAGGTGCAAGCTGCCTGCGGGACGTCAGGTTGGAAGTGGTTCCAGAGGTTGTTCAACGTGGTCACGAGGTGATCGTACGGTGCTATTATGATGTGGAGAAGCGACCCCTTTACTCTGTCAAGTGGTACCGCGGAAAGCACGAGTTTTACCGATTCTCACCGAGCGAGTTTCCGCCTACCAAGATCTTCAACATTTCCGGGATCGACATTGACGTAAGTACCCAAACAACGAACTTTACTCGTTCTTCCAGAGGACTGTCGGTTTCTATAATCCCTTTGGTACTTTACCACTTGTTCCAATTCCATCGTTCCTTATTTTACCTTCAATTCGTGCACCCTGAGAATTATAACCCCCATAAAGTTCAGGATGAGAGCCTCGAAACTATGAAGTGAAAATATCGTAAATAGAACCGAGAGAAATTTACCGATCTCTCTCGGGACTCTGGATTTTCCCATTTACGTGAAAATGTATGCACGATACCCTTATTTGAAAGGGTCAGCTAAAAAACTGTATACCATAGGTAGGTACGAATCGGAAAACGAACCTGCCCATTTTCAAGGGCTCTCCGTCGGGACTCTCAGAATTTCATTTGTTTCTGAATAAAATCGTCGAATCGATACGCCCAACCTCTGCCGATTTCCCACGAAAACTCCAACGTCGCCATCTTACCCTTAGCTCTTGCCCGTTAACTAAAAGACTAGGCAAATTAAGGTTATCTTCGTAGATACCCCAATAACGTAAGTACTTATACATATAAACCTTAGATGATCATATATGTATATATATATATATCATACATAATGCAGTAGCTGCAGTAAGTACAGCACGTGTGCTTAGCATAGGTATAACATGATCACCTCGAAGATCCAATGTAACGTGAGAATTTCATCCTTCCACCACCCCCGGCAGGAACGCATCGTGCGATAACTGGTACATCATAGGAAAATGCACTATGTAATACATAAAGGCAGTATACCAGAGCGTGAAGATGCGTCAGAGATATATAAAAAAATACAAATTAATTCAACACCTTGTAAAGCTGCGATTGCGCGAAATGAATGCGCCTATACATATAGCCGCATTGCCAATTACCTTCAGGTAAAATGCATCTGACTAAATATCACTATTGCAGTCTACTCCTTTCATCCTCGTTGAAAGTAATTTTATATGCAATTTGCCCGGGAGTGTCCCAGGCGCTGGAATATGCACTGTAGATGCAAAGCGTCAAAATGAAACGTGTCAATGCTTTGAGGTCGAACGAACGACCTGTGAACCCGACATTGTGTAACGTTTATTGCATTCAGCATTTACGCAACCGCTCGTCCGGGATAAATAGAGCATTTTCTGATAAAACAAACGGGACCCTTTTTTTCGTGGGAAACTACGGATTATTAAGGCTACTCCCAAGACCGTTCCGATCCTTTTTTTACCTTCGATCCCGACAGTTTATTTCTATCCTGCATAGACTTGTACAGTGATTACATAGGAAGCAGCAGGAAAAGCAAAAGCAGAAAAACGAAGAGAAACCAATTTGTGATACCTACCGGGATTTGATTAATTAGAGTGATTCCGTTAGCTCTCTTTTCCTTTCATGCGCTGTTTCAGCGTCAGTCCTCTCTGTCTGACCTCTTAACCACTTGTTCTCCTTTCCTTTCCTGAAACGCGACCACTTCTTCCTCTCCTCCTTCCTCCCGCCGCCCCCTCACAGTCCTCGTAATGGCGCTCCTTTATTTTATTAAAAGTCCTCTAATTATGCATATTCCTCTTTATACCGTTTTCAATTGACCTTCCTCCGTCACTTAATCCTTTAATCCGAAGCTTCAATTTACTTTGATGGTGTCTTGCGTTACCATCTGCACGCTTCAGTGAATCTAGCCGCTGCAAAGTCACGTGGCAAGAGAGAGAGAGAGAGAGAGAGAGAGAGAGAGAGAGAGAGAGAGAGATAAAAAAAGAATATTGATGAATACCTCGACGTGTATATCATTTGAAAATCTGGAGGTGGATTGTGAAGTAAAAGAAAGAAAGAAAAAGCTTATTGATGCGTGACGTAACGTTTGCCAGTCGAGTTTGACGAATTCTTGAAAAATTTTAAGGATTAACAATTTTCCATAAAGAAATATTGGAGCGACGGCATCAGCAATCGAGCGAGAAACGATATTTCCAAGCGAGAAAAGAAAAGGGACCGCCCTGAATTTCCCTTGGAATCTGACCCCTCTTCTTTTCTACTCCGCGCCCTCTCACGACTCTTTAAGGTTTCCGTCACGCTCGAGCAAAGTGAACTCGAATCACTCAGCTCATCCTTTAGAATCTCCACTAGCTCATTTTTAGCTTCTTCGTCTCTACGTCTTTATTTTCTCCATACTACTCGTTTCTTCTGTTCTTGACGTTCACACGGCTCAACGTTTCTTTCGAGTCACTCTTTTACAGCCATATGAAAATTTCATAGGTCCTGCAATTTATTTTTATTTTCAGCTGATGAACTCCAACGAGAGCCAAGTTACAATTTGCAACGTTGACTTCGGCCTATCCGGAAACTTCAGCTGCGAAGTTACCGTGGAGGCACCCACCTTCTCCACAGCCTTTGTCTCAAAGAAGCTCACGGTAGTATGTAAGTATACGAAACACAGCATGATACGGTACGATACGTTATGCTTTTCAGAGATCTCAAGAGACCGGAGATACGTAGACCGTATAGGCTAGTAAGCATATTTTGAATCTAAATATGCATTTCGACATAGAACACTTCTTTTAGGGTATTATAGGGAGCCCACGTGGAGCTCGTTTATATTTTCGGAAAGGTCGAACGATATTTTCCGCTGGTCAATCGCGATGGCTCAATCCCAAACTCACCAGGATCCCAGGGTTGCCACTGCTAATCGATGAAAGGTGCCGCACGTGCTCCTCGTCCAGTGAATCAGGTGTGACAGACAAATTTTTCGCCGCGTGAATCTGACTCCGTGGCCAATATACATGTATAGTAAAAGTTTGAGTCTTTTTTAACGAGGCTTGGTAGGCAAAAATGACGGTGGTCCTGCATCCTTCCCTTATATCCCTTACACAGGGATACACGTGGCTACCCCATAGCCCAGAAGCAGAACGAATATCCAACTCGCACTTATTCATCGCACACAGGACCATTTCGCGAATTTGGAATTCTCTCGGTGTCGTATTCCGAGCATATATTTCGAATTTACAGTCATGCGACCCTATACCCCCACCCTTTCACCCCCCCTCTCCCCTGGACTATCTCTATCGACAGATATCGCTAGTTTTTATTAGTGACGCGGGTAGGAGGGTCAGGGGGTAGAGAATGGATTTATACGGCGCCGAAGTTACTAACCGCAGAGGGTGGGATATGAATTTCATATTTTACGATAATACAGCGAGAAACCTGAAAATATTCTGGAGTCTTACGGAAGCCAACTGAGTATTCTTCGAATCGTTCATAGCGTATAGGATGAGGAGGGTTGGACTGGGGTAGAAGGGG